GGTTACAGCAGAGATCAGAATAACCAGGTTATTTAAATGCAAGTAAATGCAATGATGATGAAGATAATACAGTTTGATGTTTTACTGGCACCTGGCAGAGGGGGGTCAACAGGGGGATAATCAACTGGGATGAGGAGCAAACTGTCCATGCCTGCGTTTAGAACGAGCTGTACTGCAGTTTAACTTGGCACCTCAACAGGAAACGTGTGACATTGATTTACTTTGAGCCTTTATTGGAACTGAAATAAATGGGGAAATAAAAGGAGGAATAAATAAAAGAACATATAAGTAAGTTATAAAAAGTGGAATACAAATACAAATAAACAAAAGAATAAACAAGTAAATAAAAATATGTGCAAATAAATGCAAAAATATGAAAACAGATAAAATATAAATATTATAAGAATTTTCATTTATTTTCACATTTATTTGTTCATTTATTATATATACTGTATATATATATTATATATTTATGTATGTATATTTTTTGGAGTATGACATTTTTACATATATAGTGTTATTTATTTATTTGTATCCCTTTATTTTTCCTTATTCGTTTCCCTATTGCTTTTGCTATTCCATGAAGGGCAAAGCTGTCAATCAACTGGCTTTGGGCGGGACTTCCAGCCCAGGTGGAGTAGTCAATTCCTGCAGACATGAACCGATGCTTTGAGAAAGGTCTGTCTTCAGTCTGACAGGCTACATGACATGTCCACTTTATTACACGGCACGATCACCACACTGCACATGCACAAGTCTGGTGTCACAGACTGTCTGGTTGTCACTGGGGGTGAAGATATAAATGCAACCCTGAAGGGTCAAGTAAAGTCAACAGGTAGTATTATTTTCATACAAAGGTAGAATATACATTATTACTATTCTGCTGTAACTGTATCATAAATCAATCTGATTGAAGTACATCAGATCCAATACTGACCATTAACCAGAACATACAGTCTCAATGAAACCTGAAGAAATCAAGGTGTGACATGACTAGCCTCATATGCTGGAAAGCAAAGAGGTCTTGAACAGATTAGAAGGAGAGAGCGTAGTAAAGCTGTGTTTATCACCAGTCCTTTGTAGCTCGCATCGCTAACTCAGTCCGACTAAGACATGCATAAGAAGCAGCTACCACATTAGGCAGAGAGCACAGAGCGGATTAAAAGGGGAATGAATTGGGCCAGTGTACTGCGAGGAAAGTATTTCTCTCCCATGTGCTGTGCACAGGTTTTCCTCAGAGTGGGCTTGGGTGCATGTTTGTGAATGTGCCGGGGGTCTGAGCGTTTGCGCGATGGGGGATTGGAGATCAGAGCTTTGTAGTATTTGCGGTATTACAGTTTTCCTCAGTCGCCTTGGTACGTTTCTCGAATCATCCTTAATATTTGCAAAAAAGTGCATCTCTTGAAATAATTCGTACAAACAGAACCACACAAGGGATTACCTGCCTGTAACTTGCTCCAAGTCCTTAGTTTCTGTCTCAAAAGTAAATATTAATGTCAATGAACATGTCAGTGTGATCAGAATGACAAGTTCTTGTGTCATTCATTGAAATGGCACAAGGCTGCAGTTTTTCTGTAACTGTGCAAAGTTACAAGTTACTGTATGTGGGAGATTGAACAGGAATCAAATTGACACCTTTACTGTTTGTACTGTAATTTGTTGACCATATCATTGTGATACAGAAAGGAAAAAGACAAGATTGTTTTACAGCAGTGCATAGCACAAAGGAAAACATTACATAATTAGAAATGCAACATTCAAGATATTTTGTATAATTTGATCATTGGTTGATCTAACGCTTCATAAATTCTCCTTCATTCTTGAAAGTCAAGATTCAATTGTGAGCAATTCATTCATTCAGGACAAATGTACAAAATAAATCAAACAGAAATGTCTTTAAAACATGCTTGACAGATTATGACAACTATGTTATCATGACTGACTAGATATTTTAGGGGGTAAGGCTACTGAACAGAGAATTTTTGAGAATTTCTATTCTGATGTGAGGAAATGTACCAAAGCAACTGAGAATAACGCCATGCTATTGCACAATTCCACCATGAGATTCTCTCTACAACTTGTATATTCTTCTTCTAGTATAATATAGGATTTTAGTAAGGTTAATGGTGAATAATGTCCAAATGTACTAAATCTGTCCCTACATGACATCTGAGCTTTAAATTAAAAAAAGCATCCCAGCAACCAATCTTTTAATCTCCACCTTCTGAAAGCTAATCTACGAGTCCGAGTTGGTGCATGAAGACTGAGCAAACTGAAATAAGTCTTAAAAGGGCCCTGTGGAGTTCTTGTCAACAAACATTCTGTGTTACTCACCAAAATGCATTGTTTGTATCCTTGAGCTCTAAAAACGGTGTCGAGAACATTTCCTTCTTCATATCACATGTGTTTTAAATCATGCAATGTTGACATCCATGTTTATTAGCTCGCTGGCACATTGCTGCATATCTTGATGTGTTACTGCTCACTGATCAGTGGAATAGTGTGAAGTTATTGACAGGAATATGTGTTAAATCACCCGTGTGCAGCATGCAGACTCTTCATGGCTCTACTAGAGGTCAAAAACCACACAGGGAACCTTTTACAAACAAAAGCCTCAAAGGGAAGCCTTAAGAATTGTTCAACAATTTTGGAAAATGCTTTTTCCTTTATTGGAGTGCCAGTCTGTCAGAAATCAATCCCCATTTACTATATAGTGCACTACTGTCCTCAATTTTCACCGTTTGAATTCTGAGCGTTAAACAATGCAACGTAAAAAAAGTACATGACTTTCTGCATATAATCCCACAATACAATATGTTGCATTTAATGGATGCTAAAGTCACAGCTGTCAGTGAAGATGCAAAATAATGATCATCCATAAGTGTCCAAAATCTCAGTTTACTGCTCACTATAGAGAAAACTACTGTATGTTATATGGGAAGAACTGAGTGATCCCACGGGAGCCCTGCCTCGACCACCAGCAGGAGTTACCAGTGCAATGACAAGGACGCAATCCTTAATAGGCTTCTTACCTGCAAAAACTGCCACAACAACAAAACCCTAACACATCGATAAAAGCCTCTCCTAACTACTAATGAAGCATTATTCAGTTTCATCTGCAGACTCATTTATTGGTCCAGAGTACTGCTCAGTTACAACTCACTCTTCAGCTGCTCTGAATGATAAAGTTGCACATGTCCATCATGCAATAATATAGGAACCCTTAAAAACACACACACACACACACACACACACACACACACACGCACACGCACACGCACACGCACACGCAGGTAATGCTTCAGAACACATCCTAGATGCCCTGTAGTTACCAAGTAACTAAATGTAACATGGGGGGAACCCTCTATGGTTAGTTGTTAACCCGAGCAGCGACAGCATCAGCAGCACACAATAACAGTTATTCTTAACTGGCTGGTTGAGTTACCTGTTAATGCTGATTTGGTAGTATGCCTGAAGCCTCTGGAGGTGGAGAATAAACTCAGGAGTCCTATTCTCCGAGTGTCATTCTCAGGTTGCTTGAAGGGCACTTGTAACTATGGCTGCATCAAGATTAGCTTTACGCCTGCAACAAGGAGTGGAGCATGATAAGAACATGAGGAAAAATGGATGAAAATGAATGCATGTGCACGCTCACATCTCTGAAACCTGAAAGCAAATACATATTTCACTATTCCTCAAAACTCATTCTCTGGGAACTACAAATTTCTGTGCAAAATTGAGTGACAATCTATCTAACCGTTGGGATATTTCGGACCGAAATGACGGCTCTATCGGCACATCATTACTGCCATAGCGCCGTGCCGTTACATTGTCAAAACACTTTGTAAAGATTGTCAAAGAAGATTGCCCACCAAAATAGTGTTCTAACTTCAATCTATCTGTAACACCTGTAATCATCAATATGTTCAGATTTTAAGTGTGATTCTTTCTTATTATGAGACATACTTACAAGTGACTAATTGCACAAGCTGTTAAGACATTTGATCAACAATTGCAAACTTTGAGGAATTTGGCCCACGATGGAATGCAGCAATAGTGCTCAAAAGATGTGTTGCACTATGAAGAATGGCGGGCTCTTCTTCTTCCCTCTTTGTGTTTCCATTTACAATGAGAAATAATGACAAAAAGTTTTAATTGCTAATAACGTGTAGTAATGAAGAAAATCCATTAGAAAAGCAGAATTGGGCATCGGGTAGGTAATTCGGCACTGGAGTCAACAAGAGTCAGCCGTGCCTTCAACAGATGGATGGAGTGGCAGTATGGAGATATGAGGTGACACCTTTTTAAGTAAAATCAATTTTGTGGGAGGACGAATTTGATTTGATCACAGTAGTGAGGCTCTTCAGTTTGTTTTAATCTGGAAAAAGATTAAAACAGGACACAAGGTTTTGCACAAATACAAATAGGGGGGCAAGAAAGATTCTGCTGCCATACTAGTTACAAATTTCACTCAAAAATTTGATAAACATTCATGTTCTGCATTGTGTAAAAGTATAAAAGGGGGGGATAGCCAAATGTAGCCTGTAAAAGTAGTTTTATCTCTATTATTTCTGATTACTTTGTCAGCCGAACTACTAATTTGCAAGAGTTTGCATTTCTTCATGGCTCTGCATTACAGTAGAGTGAGGAAAACTTACTCTAAAAAAAGATTGGCTAAAAAAGTCAGTTTGTGAAAATTTGTGTTTGTAACTTTCTCTTATCCTTAATTTCTTACTGTCTGCCTGACTATTTTGTCAATCAAGCTAAACCAAAATGCACCTCCAATTATATAACCACAGCCTTACTTCTGCATTGAATTAAGAGGAAAAGCAGACGTCGGTACTGAAGAATTGTGAGTAAATGCAGGGTGTTTAGCTGAAATCTTTGGCTTAGTCCACGGAGGCACACACAAACCCATATTATTGTGGGGAAAAACCATGTAGGTCTTACCGTGTGCAGCTGTGAGCTAGTTGTGATCTTCACTTCACAGGCCTGTTGCATTGTGGCCCTCGCTCAACTCAAAACTGCTGGAGAGGCGAGAAAAGGGTCGTTCAAGCAGATGCGACAATTCGGGGCCCTTGAGCGGTAAATTGCGTCATTGGACGTCTTGAGATTGAGCTGTACGATAAAAAACAGTCACAAACATGCACACTGACGTGGGTGAAAACTTTTGAAACCAAATATAACTTTCGAGGGTCGCAGAGGAAAACAGTTTGGATGGTAACTTGTGCTTGACTTCTCAGAGAAGGGAGTTTGGTGTAACAAACATTACAGTCTAAATGTGAATAGAATGTTTTTGTTATGTCAACTTGTATTTAAAACAATTAATTGGCTTGTATGTGCAAATAAGTCCATACCTGAAATCTCCTTCAGTCCTCGACGCGCTTCTGCCCCAATATTCAATTAGTTCAATTTGACGCGTAATGTGGAGTTTTCTCGCTCCGGGTTTGTGCGTCCCAGAAGGATGTGCGCATCACCAGTGAAGGACTTTTTGGCAGATTGCTGCGGGAGCTTTTTCTCCGGGGATGACCGTGCCATAACTTTGCCTCTATGAGCGAGTCTCTCTGAGTTGCGTCTCACGTCGCAGCCTCAACACCGCTGGCTGTGCTGAGGAGCCGCAGAAAGCAAAGCGCTCACTGAGGAGAGCCACGTGACTGAGACGTAACAGTGAACCTCATCAGAGAGAGAGAGAGAGAGAGAGAGAGAGAGAGAGAGAGAGAGAGAGAGCTCTGCGGCGAAAACATCAGAGCTGCCTGTTCAAAGGCAGTCACTCCTGGGCAGTATTCCTTCGGTTGGCCTACCTTCACCCAGAAATAAGTCAAATCTCCCCAGTGAATGTAAACAAGTAAACATCTGGCGCTTCCCGGTTACCTGACATGCATCACAGATTTGATTACTGATTGCGAAAGAAACGTTTTTTTTGTTAACAACAAAACACCAAGCAAAGGAGGACATGAGGAATACTTAACACAGAAAAGGGCAACATAAAGTCGAGTTGAAGTTTCTTTAGGGTTGTTCTCTGTGCATCAGTGCCGTGGAATGAAGGATGACAACAAAAAGACACACAGACAAAGTATTAACATGGCTGGAAATAACACGATGGGCCTTTTTATTAATGCATTACTGACAGATTGGTGTACATATTTATATATATTTTATATATTTAAAAGAAGGGAATCTAACTCCAAGTGTTAGAAAATTGGCAAGCATGTTCTGGTTTAAAAACAAGAAAAAGATCTTTCTTACAGTTCAACCAGGTTGTGTGATTATACTTCGATTATACTTCTTTACATATACAATCCTCAGTAAGTTGTGTCGTCTTCAAGATGCTATCTTGTGAACTGCTACTGTGACGGTCCCATGACTCCTCACCAGAACGTTTCTACAAAACAAGCAAACAAATACAATTTACTCAGACAAACATTCACCTGGTGAACAATACTACACTCTTCAATAAAATCAAAAAATAAGCATGCATTAATATTGTTGGTGATGTTATGACTGGATGAATTATATTTAATATCATTGTCATCATCAATAGCCCCAACCCGCCATAAATAAAGTTTTACTATTTAAAAAGCACAAATATCTACAAATATTGAATGTTGACCTCAACCAACAGTAAAACAACATGAGGATTAGCGGCCTGTCAATTTTTATTTTGATATCTGTCAGTCATGAAGTCATTGGGTTATGCCTTGTTGACAAATACTGTAATTCTACCATACTTACAAAGCAGCCTGCCAGTCACAACAAAGCTGCAGACTCATCTTCAGTCACTATAAGGTCTAACATTTTAAATAACTTCTCTCTAATGATGGTAAGTATCGGTGTTAGTTAGTCACTGGTCACCCATGAACCAGAAGATGTTTTGCAAAGTCCAGAAGGTGGCAGCAGAGTCGCGCAAATGAAAGCTAAACTCTTTTGCCAAGACTTGTAGCTCAGTCTGAGGTTCAAACAATAGACACTCAATCTTTGATTTTGGATCTCTTTCAACAGTTTTCTTCCCAAGATGTATTGATCTCCACGAGAGTTAATCAAAAACACGGCAGACAGACCCCTTAAATTCACTGGGATGGAGAAAAGGAGAAGATGCAAGTCAGTCAAGCAAAAAAAAAAAAACACAAAAGGTTTTGTGAGGGCTCACCCTGACTCAGACTCCAAGCACACTGTCGGACTATCTGTTGGGTCTTTGATGAGAGCTGCAGCTTGTTTGGCCAAAACTGACACAACACCGCCGTGTTCATCAGACAGGGAGCCACGGCCTGTGGATTGTGAGATATTAAAGAGTGTTACTCAACAGAACTGAAGAAATGTCAAAAGGAGCACTAATTAAACTTTAAAAAAATCAACATGTTTTGGTTGTTTTAAGTTAATGATCCTTCTGCTCAAGGAGACAATCAGCTTGTATTTGCACTATACTGTCCAGTGACCCAAACTGCTCCCCTTGAAGGAATACTTCAACATTTTGGTCCGGTCATATAAATCTCTGTAAAACCACAATTTGTTGTTTTGACACTTTGATTTTTGTACTTAAACAAACGAGATATAACCAGGTGAACATTAAACATTTTAATCTCTCATGGGGTTTTCTCGATTAAATGTGATCACATCGGTCAGAACCAAAAATCAGACGGAAGGCCTCCTAAAATGATACAGCGTCAGTAAGATCAATTAAATTGGTTGTGTTCAGAACTGCACACAAAGAGTCTTGTGTACACATTTCCGTTGGCAGTGAGAGGGCCATATTCTATACCTGACTCTGTTACTTATTGTTAGGGATGCTCACAAATAACCTCACTTTGTTATTTATTAGCAGCAAGGTTTGTGAGCATTTGATTGACCATGTCATTTAGCATCCATAACATATTTCCCAAAAAATAGCAATTATTAGCCTAACTTTGTGAATATCATTGACTTTGGGCTGTTTATGACCCAGGTTGGCAAAACACTACGGGTAGCAAGTTGTTTGTGTTTCAGACTAATCAATGTTCTGTTTTTGTTTGTTATTTCTTGTTTAGCATAAAGGGACTACAACTTCATTCCTTTGTGCAGCCGTGTGCTTTAAAATAACGGTACATGCACCTTAAATCTTGAATTAACCGGTTGGCTATAGAATGTCAGTTCTCAGAGCCAATGACGACATCTCAAAATTGCCTTTTTTGTTTGACAACAGCCCAAAACCTCAAAATGTCCAGTTTACTGTCATACTTGTCTGAGAACACCAGACAATATCCACATTTGATTTGTTGGTAATTGATGCTTGAACATATATATATATATATTTTTAACTAGCCTTAATAAAAGGCCAGTTTGGTCGAAATACATTTGACTAACATGTTTTATATGAACCTAGGAAAGAACAAGCAGTGTTTTCTTACAGCCCAGATTGTGTCCTTGTTGATCCGTGCAGAGCACTCCGACAACTGCTGGATTCTTCATGCTGCCAACAACACAGACAAACAAAGAGCTTTCAGTCGTCTTTAACGGTTAAACAGTTAAATACAAACTCAATCACAGTCTGGTATTAACTCACGTATCATCGAGATGCTGTTCTAGGGTCGACTCCATTATTATCAATCGTAAATAACTGCAAAAGTCAAGTATTGTGTATGAAGATGTGTTGTTTCTGAAGCCTGCTTCCGATTGGAGTCAGCTGATCGTCACGTGCACTAAGGGTCCCTGTGAGGACCAAACTATACAAAGCGATGTACAAGACGGACCAAGAACGTGACAGTAAAAAGTAAGCTTACAGACTACCTGTAGGTAACATCTGAACCGTGAGCTACATATAGGCACCCATCAACGTTTATAGTTCGAAAACGAAATTCATATTTGTAAAACCAAGCAAATGACAGGTGTTTTCACGCACTAGGACCACGCGGAAACAACGCCCGCTCAAGCTCCAGCTCCCCATTTCCCTTCCTATTTAGTTTGTTTTTAGTTTTAAAGGACTGACCACTAGGGAACTCTGGCTCATACTACAACATAGTAGGTGGCAGTAATGCAACTTTAATGATAGATGCACCTGCCATTAAACCAAACAAAGAAGAAGAAGAACAAGGCGAAGAAGAACTCCACTGCCCAGCAGCTCAACAAAAACGATACGTCTGCAATGTCCAAAACACCCAAACTACAGAAGACGGAGGACATGGGACATCTTATTAAACAAAATAATGTGAGTGGTATTTTTAGACACAATTAAGTTAGCTAACGTGACCTTACGAATATTCATAGCGAGATCACGTTGGAGTCTCTTAAAGCCATAAACTTGCTGTTTCAAATGACTACAGTCAGTTCGCCACTGTGCCTCTTCAACTCATTCATGAACGTTTCTTTGGTAATATTGTATCGTGTCTGTAACTCAGCTTGTCCCTTATGAACCTGCTTCCTAATCTAGCTAGCTTACAGCTAACTAGCTGGACTAATAACATCGGTGTTAATGTGCGACTGTGAGACGAGTGCGAAGTTTTATTGGGGGAAAAAAAATAACTTCACTGTTATTAAGTGTAGTTTGTCCAAAATTACTACACACATTAATATCTCCCCCTGTTTGTACTACAATGCTTATTTTGTAAAAAAAAAAAAAAAAAAAAATTGCTTTTGCATGAGTCTGAGCAATTTAAATTGGGAGAAATATTCATTAACTTCAGTCCAATGTAATGTAAAAGTTGTTTTAATTGGGGGTAAATATTAAATTATCTTACTGTTATCAAGTGTAGTGTGATCAAAATTACTACATACATCAATGGGCTCCTCCTGGTTAAGCTGCAATGCTTATTTTTTTTTAAAAAAGAGCATCTTTGGGGTATTTTCTATTGGGATAAATATTGAATAACTTCAGTATAATGCGATGTAGCACCATCACATTATGTTCAACCACATGTCGTGTTGGTAATGCTACAATACTTAGTTTGAAAAAACATCTCTTTTAGTGATAACTCAAAATTCAAAAGTCAAACTATAGCATGTCGGAAAAAAGTCTTAAAAAATCATAGTAAAGTATGTCGAAAAAATTCATAAAAAGTCAGTCATGGAAAAAAGTTTGTTGAAATAACTCAGAGTACTGTATGATGAAATTTAAAAAAAAAAAAAGTCAGTATAATATTTTTTTAAAAAAAGTCAATATAGTAAGTCGCTTGTTACAAAACTCACTGACGTCTCCGTATACAGTTCAACAGAGATGGAGGTCTGATGTCTGTGCTTCACCTCATCTCAGGAGATCTTGCCATGTTGAAATACCAACATTCCCTAGCTTACTACAACATAAAGGGGGGGGGGGGGGGATAATGTGCTTCTGGAACAAGCAGCTCGGTCTGTGTGAAGCATATATACTCTGCAAAAGCTTTGACTTGTTGTTAGACCTCCGAACCATCCGTGGGGAAAGGGCTCTGACCATTCAGCGGAATTATTCTAAGTGTCTGTTCAATAAAATACTTAAAGACATTTGAGAGCTTTTCATCACGTTTATTTCTCACCTCAACAACAACAACAAAAAAACAATTCTGGTAAAGTTCATCAAAAAATTCTACAATAGGGCTGCAACTAATGTTTATTTTCATTGTCGATTATTTCTTGATTAATCAATGACTTGTTTGGTCTATAAAATGTCAGAAAATGGTGAAAATTGTTGATCAGTATTTCCCAAAGCCCAATATTACATTCACAAATGTCCTGTTTTTTTCTCCACAACCCAATCTGATGTCACACTGTTGTTCATCCTCAGCATTTCTTCTGTGCTGCACATACCTGTCTGCGTCCTTCTCCCCTTTCCTCCTCTTGGTGGCTGGTGTGTGTGAGAAGTAGGATGGAACCCTGTCAGGGTCATCAGATCGATAGAAGTAAAACAAAACAAAAAAAGTTTAGTTAAATGAGTGATATCATTTCTGCAGACTGGTTAAGAGTTGGGTTTATTTACGTCTCAGCATCCCGACTCTCTCGCTAACTTTAGCTGCCAGTTGGTGTAACTCCTCAATAACAACAAACCATGTCAGAACAATTACGCAAAGACATGATTTATGGATCAAAATACAACAATTAATATCCCCAGTGTTTACTTACCTTTGATGAAGTGCTGTAAATACGTGTATACTTTGACAGCTGCCGTTGTTTGTTCTTTTTCGGGACAGAGGCACGTTTAATGGCACAAATCCACAATGTCTTCCTTTCAGGATTTTCTTTCTCGGGTGGGGTTCTGTAGAAAAACACACCAGCTTGTCTCCTCATCGATTAGTGCATCCGATTGCGCAACAACAGAAATCACTCCCTTCGTAAGCTGCAGTTTTGCCATTCACTTTTTTGTCTTTAACTAAGAAAACATAATTGTCCCAGGCGGTATAACCACCTTAGCTGGGCTCACAGTAAAGCCAGTGCGGAAGTGCATTAAATGTGCACTCTGGCGACTCCTCTGGTAGCAAAAAGTCAGAGCTAATATAAGTGTATGATAAAGTGGCCCTACTTCTCACTGGATTTATCACCTCAATCAATACTGTAAACCTGAAGTTATGGTCTCGATCGCTAGTTCAAATGTTCTGCAATGCAGCATGATGTTCATTTAGGAAACAATGGACCCATTGAGAGTAAGACTGAGGATAAAGGAGGGTTTGCTTTATGGCGTGGCTGCTTTGTGATTGACAGGTCGCTGCCACGGCGTTGTCCGGCCTGTTTTTTGTCTTACGGCTTTAACACTTTCACGTTGTGTTTTTAGTTCATACAAGTTGGTTGTAACCTGTTTAGTGGCCCTAAAAATGTCTTCATTCATTCAGTGACAAATCTGATCAACATAGTCCAGCTGTGCCCACTGGCACCCAGGAGAACATCAGGTCACGCCCCTTTTGGCCCAACAGATTACGTCATTACATGCACTTCTTATATACCATCTAAACTGCAAGGGTACAACAAAAGTTAAAATAGTGTTTTCTTATCGTGGTGCCATATTGATGCAGTTCTTAGATAGATAGCTTAAGCTTAATATTCTGTAAATGCAAATATCATTACTGTTTTTTTATGAGTGCAATAGTTCCTCATTCACTAAACTCATTTTTTAAACTGGATTAGTTGTGAAATGAAACCCTGCCTGTATATACTTCATCATTCATGTGTTACTCTCTTTAAACCAGACACAGTGAAAATGTATTCACATATTATGATATATTCAGAGTTGCATTCATATTAAATTAGATTAGGTGAGCTATTTTTCCCTCTTGAATATATAATCTTTATTGACAATCCAGTTCCCACCTTTTGCAAGCATTGCACAGCCGGCCACATGACTCACAATAAGCTGATGTCAGGCAAAATAGCTCCAGTGCCGTATGATCGTTAGTCATAACACCGTTTTTTTGGAGAAGCATGAATCCTTGTTTGACACTCAGATCTAATCACTGAGAATTTAAGTCATCTTTAAAAACAAAACCAACATCACATTGGTGTTCAGCATGATAAACAGTTAAGCAACATAATGTGAACTTTACCACTTTATTCAACATAAAATACAGTATTAATGTTATGAGTCCAAAACAGAAACCATGCTTCTCGCAGCCTTTTGTTGATGGATTTAGTATTTTTTTTCCACAGTTGGCTGGAGGCCTGCCTGCGCTCGCCTCCCTGCATAATTTCTGCTGCCTGTCCCAAGACGGCGAGGTTTCAGTGCTCTTGCTGACAGGGCAGAAATGGGTGAATGTAATTATGTGGCTGCTGCATTGGGGGAATCCATCACAGCAGCACAGCTGACTAACCCATGGGGTATGCTCTCTCCTCTCCTCTTTGCTCTCTCATATTTCTCTCCTCACAGCTTAAATCAGAGCCCAGACGCTTCCACTGACAACCTGCTGCTCATCACTGTCAGAGCATGCACGTATAGGCAAACACCCACACATACTTTTACACATGCAGAATAATTAACAAGGTCTACATACATGTGATATCTTTTCCCCTTGGCACACATACACATTCACGGTTGTGCATCGCACACACTCATGCAAGGAATCTTGTATGAAGGGAGGTTGGCATCAACACTAGACTAGGATATTTGCTATTTGGCCAATCACAGAAAATCTCCAAATTAACTCAGAACAAAAAGGTCTGACTCCTATCATTACCTTGCCATATACTTAAAATGGCTGAACTAATTTAAGGATTTCACTATTATTTATGTAATGTAGCACACATAAGAGTCATTATTCATATTCTGTTATTCATCAAGTGTTACTAGAGTTAATAAGCAATAAGTCAACGAGGTGTGGTGAGATGGAGTCTCTCCAAATTTGCTCAAACTTTTAGCCTTCTGATTCATTTGTTTTTAAATAAAGCAAATGCAAATAGTGAATTAATTTATGATCATATCAGACCTGAAAATAAAAAATGTTTCAGTCAAAATAGATATTTAAATTCATAACAAATACTTATCATGATACTGTACACACCACTGATTGCAGAGTAGCTTATATGATGAAGATGATGTGTTTTTAACCTTATAGGCCTTATTCTCTCAGTGTGGATGAATGCTGATGTGAAGCTGAAGTTAATGGTATAGCTGTCAAAATACACGGCATTATGGCACATGTATACCATAATAAAACCATGAATATCACTTTCCATCCTTACGTGAAGCCCAGTTTATGAGTCAGCCTGGTCATTTCAGTAAACTCGTTACATGGCTGTGATGTTGATTTGTCTTGACTCAGCTGCTTCAGACTGACAGATAACTCTGGATTTCATGGCACCTGTGCTCTTTTCCTCACAAAAAGGTGTCGGATTCATTTTAGTTCATATGAATGTCATCACTTGTAGTGCAGTTTTCCATATTTGTTGTGTTAGCTTGAACCACTTGAGTCATGGAAACTCTGTCAGCCTCTGCTTTGCGCATGGTCAGACCCCTATAGGCAAAGATGTACAAGTAGAGGGGACTATTGTGAGCCTTCATCGTCACTGTCATCCGGATGAGTAAGATGACGACGCTATTGAGGAGACAGGCAGAGAGGGCGTGGGGAGATCTTAGACATGGTGAGGGAGGGAGGGCTGGGTGGGGGTCTGAGGTAGATAAAAAGAGGGAGAGTGTGGCTCCCCCCTCTGAGGAGTTCTGGGAACCTTCATGACTGACCAGAGAGCCGGGGATCCAGTGCGAGGTGCCGGACAGACCGCTTACAGCTGTTGTCCAGTGTTGAGGGTGTTGAGAGAGTCCAGATCTCCTGTTGCTGTCATGGGCTTCAGGGCGGTGCTGCTGTCCTTCCTCCTGGTGTCTCTGAGCTGCTCCAGAGGAGCCGTCATCACAGGGGTGAGTGAGAGGTTTCTGTCTCTGCTGCACACTGTTACTAATTACTCCAGTTACTCGTTTGAGTCATGCCTGATTAAAGATTACATTTTACTTTTTTTTTTTATCATCTGCTCCATCTAGTGATTTTCTTCTTTCTTTTTAAAAGTATATTGAGACACTATGATTTTACAGTCAAACTTACTAGAGCTGCAACTAACACTTGTTTTCTTCATGGCTTAATCTGTGTGTTATTTCTTTGTTTACTCAATTATTCATTTAGTGTGAAACATGCAAAAACAATGACAAATGCTCATCACATGATGCCTGAGCCTGAGGTGACGTCGTAACAGTCCAAAGCATATGAAACAGAGAAAAGCAGCAAATTACATTTGAGAAGCAGGAGCCAGCAAATGTTTGACATTTTTGCTTGATGACTTGAACAATTAACTTAAAAAATTGCTTCTTTTTTTTGATGGGTTAATTGATGAATTGAATGGTTCTGATCTAATTCTGTCAATGCATTGGGAAGCGTGCTGCACATGCACTCAAACTCCAATATATAGTTTGTTTTATATTATATGATATCTAATACTATCCCTTGATTTTTGTTTTGATTTTCTTGTATTCAAACTAAAGATATTGCAAAAAAACTACATACATAATGGCACAGTTCACTTTTGTGGATAATTTTGTAAAATTTGATTACACACGACTGACAGGAGACCACATCCTCCTCCGCTTCAAGTCCAATGGAAAAAACAGAGGAAATTAGTCCTCTGATTGATATTCATTTGTAAATGGATTAAGGAGACGACAGGCAATGGATAAAATGGCTTTCACTGTACGAACATGAGATTACTATTACAATAAGTAAAAATGAAATAGATTCAAACATAAAAGGGTATCTCTATTAGCATAAATCACAGTCATTGGCATTAAAAGTACCCTGCATGTATGTCTCTTATTCTTTTCTGTCTGTCCTCTACCACCTCGTCTCTCCCTCTGTCCTACAGGCCTGTGAGAGGGACGTGCAGTGTGGTTTTGGTCTTTGCTGTGCCGTCAGTCTATGGCTGAGGGGCCTGAGGATGTGTGCCCCAAGAGGTGTGGAAGGGGATGAATGCCACCCCTTTAGCCACAAGGTGGGGAGAAATGTTATGTCACTAATCTTCCTGTATCACACTCTGCTACACACACACACACACACACACACACACACACACACACACACACAGTCATACTCTCTTGCCCACACTTGTTTTCTGCGTTAGTGGAAATTCAGATTATATCAAGCTGCTGGCAGGTTGGCTGAAGCTTTAGAAAAGCTGCTGATAACTGCAGAGGCTATTGATCTTCTCCAGAGTGAACCGGCCAATCAGAGCCATACATCACTTTGATCATCTGGAGATGGCATCAATTAGTTCTGCTAACACCACATCCGTCTCTGAATTCAGACTTTTAAAGAGCAGTTTTTCAAGATTATCAGCTCCACTTGTCAGTTGATGAAGGATTTAAACTGTCAGATTATCCTCGCCCCTCCTCTTCCCAATTCCAGGTGCCCTATCCGGGGAAAAGGCAACATCACACCTGCCCCTGTCTCCCCCACTTGATGTGCACCAGGTACAGTGAAAGCAAGTATAGATGTACTGACGACTTCAAAAGCCTGGACTTTTAACAGACGCCCACACATTCAGATGAAGAAGATCATAGCAGAAACAGCATTCAGAGTGAAAAAAACAGGCCGTGGATCAGAAACACATATTTAATCTTCACTGGCTGTTTTCTTCATTTGCGTACTCTATGCACTATAATACATAGTTTGGATTTCATCAATCCACACATCAAGGACTGAAAGAGAAATGTCAAGAGAGTGTAACCTATTAACAAGAGCCACAGCAGACGTCTGATACTTTGTACTTTATAAAAGCAAAGAAGATATTTGTGAACAATTGAACCATCTGCTGTTCTGTTTTCATGCTCACTTTATGTTAAATTGTCAAAAGATATATATATATATAAATATTATTGTCAATAAAAGTATGATTACAACATCGTTGTTGAATACGTGCTCTCTGGAGTTTTCTTTTCCCATGCAGTCTGTGTTGCTTGAATAAACATAATGAATGTTATGGGATGTCAACTGCTTATTAATCTCGGTCTGATTATGATGAAGGTCATGTAACGTCCTTTACCTCCACAAGCAAACTTATGACCAACACATGCAACTGAACTGACGACCTAATTGACTGACCTCCACTGAAATCCACCAAAATATTTACAAGATTTAGAAGATTTAAGTTGTTTTTAACTCTCATTAGGAGCTTAACCTCTCACAGTTTATTTTCTGCCATTTCAGATGATGGAATGTTCTAATGTTTGGATGTTATTTTTAAATTTTTGTTTTAGTATGTTTGTATAAGACATCAAATCATTCGCCCTCTGTTTGATAGAAGCAAATAAAGAGGGTATATGAATTGATACGTTTTTTTAAAAGTATTTAAAAATAACAATAACCATTATTGTAATTGTTACATAACTTTTAGATGAAGGATTTCCCTTTAGTACAGCAGTCGAATTAGTAAAACAAAGCTTTCAAGGCGTAGTTTTAAGAAGCACAGATTCTCTTAGCTGTGATTATTCTAACAAAATCCTTTTTAAACAAATACATATAAAATGTGATCTGCACTTTATAAAGCATACTTGATTTGTAATAATAATCTTAATACGTTTCCCACCACTGTGCTTTGATAAAGTTTTCAGTATGACATGTTCATGAAATAAATTCAATGCAAAAACATATTTTGTGAAACCAGATGCAACTCAAGTTATGAATAATGGATTTTTAATTTGGATTTAAAAACGTAAATGGGACATGTAATAACGTGTCCAATCAAAGTCAGATTACAATACATGTTCTGGATTAGCTGCATCTTGTTCACATAGTATTGCATTTTTTTTTTCTGAGTCTTTGTTTTGCGTCTTACTGTTATCAGATAAGCCTGCCCAGGTAACCTCAGCTCACACCTTTGAAAACCTGTGGAAAATTTCCATATCAATGTTAAACAGGAGCTCTGGGCATCAAATCCCTTGATATACATGTCAACACATGCTCTGTATCTGTTATTAAACACTTAACTTGCCCTTACAGTAAATTCAAATCATCTGTCAGATAACAAAAGTCAATCCTCACGTTGACACGTTTCCTTTGAACAATTATTTTTGCTGAACTGTATTCTACGACTTTGTGAATTAAGCAAAATAAATGAACTGCTGAGCTAAACGTTCGCTCTGTTTTGCATGAAGGATTTCTCTTCAGTACCAAGTACCAAGTTGAAAAAGTTTTAAGAAGCACAGTTATTATTATGTGATTATTCTAACAAAATCCTTTTCAAACAAATACTTACAAAATATGAGCTGCACTTTATACTTCATACTTGATTGTAAAGAAAGTTGTTACAAAGTATTCTTTAGAATTCCAGCAGAAGTTTGAATTGTTCATTTGTTTAACGGGATATTTGCTCCCAGATAAGAGGCACCACATCGCATATTTCTTATCTCCAGCTGATACACGATATCAAGTTATGTGGAAGGGCATTTTGGAGACACAACCTTGATTTGTTGTATTTAAGGGCTGGACTCAGCAACTGGAACTACAATCATCTGAGTCCAACAGGAAAGTGACGCGATGAAGTGGCTCGTGGTCCTGTCAGCCCTCTTGGCTTTCGCCGAATGCTTCCATAAGTAAGTCTGACCTGGCGGGTTGAGAAGCAGCCAGTTCTTTTATGTCTTTGTCATTTTACACGTGAATAGGCTGAATTGTTGAAATGCAATCTCTCCTAGTATTCCCGAGGGGAAGTCTTCAGGCCATCTTGCTTTGACCTATCACACCTTTCAAACTTGCACAAAGCTCAAAGTAAAGCTCACTTTATGATTTGTCTGGCTATAATATGTCAGACATCTGTAGATTTTGATGATTCTTTCTTTCTGTTTCTGTGCTTAGGTTTCCTCTGATCAAGGGAAAGACTGCCAGGCAAGATCTGCAGGAGAAAGGACTATGGGATGAGTACAGGAAACAGAATCCATACAACCCCATGGCAAAATTCTACCAGGGTGGTTCTGAGTCCATGACCAACGAGGCTGACGTAAGTCCACACCAGAGACAACATTTAAAGCACAAATAGCAGCTATTTTAGGGTGTGTTGAACAAAAAATGATATCCACCTCTGTTGCTGCAACACTTAATAACAAAAACATAATTTATGCTACATTTAAGACAAGTTCATGTTAATTTGCACCTGTTAACTTCATCCCTTGCGTCCCACTAGTTGTCCTACTATGGTGTGATTTGCATTGGCACCCCTCCTCAGTCCTTCAGCGTCATCTTTGACACCGGCTCCTCCAACCTGTGGGTCCCTTCAGTCTACTGCTCCAGCCAGGCCTGCAGTAAGTGTTACTGAGACTACCACTGCTGCAAGTTGGCTGTTAAGCTTTAAACATTTGGAACACAGCAGTTAAAAGTAACTAATTATATTTACTACATTTATTTGACAACTATTGTTACTTGTTACTTTGCAGGATATTATTCTACATACAAATAATGCAATGCTGCCTTGATTTAATATATTACATATATTATAGATTACATTAGCTAACGGTTTATAAACTAAAGTAGTTGTAACTCCACTTTAACCAGCTGCAACATACATACTAATGCATCAGTGATAATAACCCAGCAGTATAATAAACATATGCATCAGGAATAATAACCCAGCAGTATAATAATATTACACTGAGTCATTCAGCAACATCAGTACCTTTATCTTTAAAAGTAAAGTACATATTCCTGCTATTAAGTTTGAGCTTCTACTTGGATATAACTTAGATTTCAGGAATTTAACTTGTTATGCAGTATTTTAAGACTGCTGTATTTTACTAGTAGAATATTTAATTATTTGTTTAACAACTAATAGAGTTTATAAAGTATCAGCGGAGGTCTGACAAAGACCCCATTCCTCTGCAGACAACCACAAGAAATTCAACCCACAGCAGTCCAGCACATTCCAATGGGGCGACCAGACTCTGTCCATCCAGTATGGCACCGGCAGCATGACTGGACATCTGGCCATTGACAATGTTGAGGTAACCAAAGCCCCTAGAACAAAATGCATAGTCTATTTAGACTGCAAAAGGGCATATCTGTGTGGTCTGTTGAACTGTGACTGACAGCTGTCTTGTGTGTACAGGTGGGCAGCATCACAGTGTCCAAGCAGATGTTTGGAATTAGCAAAACAGAGGCTCCCTTCATGGCTAACATGGTAGCTGATGGTATCCTGGGGTTGGCCTTCCAGAGCATTGCCTCTGACAGCGTAGTGCCTGTCTTTGACAACATGGTCAATCAGGGACTGGTGTCTCAGCCCCTGTTCTCCGTCTACCTGAACAGGTACTGAAACAGGATGGAGCTCTGTTGGTTTGCAGGGTGTCATTTTCTGTGACATTTAATTAATTTGTTGTTTTTTCCTCTCTTAGCAATAGTGAGCAGGGCAGTGAGGTGGTATTCGGTGGTATTGACAGCAGCCACTACACTGGACAAATCACCTGGGTTCCTCTGACCTCTGCTACTTACTGGCAGATACAAATGGACAGGTACCAAGAAAACACAAAACAAAGTACTAAGCACAAACACAAGATGTGCAACTTGACTGTAATCCACTTTCTGCTGTTCCTCCTCCCAGTGTTACCATTAATGGAGAGGTTGTGGCCTGCTGTGGTGGCTGTCAGGCCATCATTGACACTGGTACTTCCCTGATTGTTGGCCCAACCAAGGATATCAACAATATGAATGGCTGGGTTGGAGCCTCAACCAACCAGTATGGAGAAGTGAGTCATACCATCATACCGTACCATTTGAAGTAAATTTTCCCCATTTTCTGAACCCAGAGTAAACAAACATGTCATGCTCTGACGTCAAAACTCTCAAATGAAAATAATTAAGCAGGACATGGTTACTTGTTGGAAACCTTTACAATACCAATAAATACAATTTCTGCTGCAACACGGTATTCAACTGTGTGTGTGACGTGCTTTTCACAGGCTACAGTGTACTGCCAGAACATCCAGAGCATGCCTGAGGTCACCTTCACTCTCAACGGACATGCCTTCACCGTCCCTGCATCTGCCTACGTCTCACAGGTCAGTTTGAACCCAGACACTTACTGCAACAGAAACGTTTTCAGCACTATAAGGAAGATTTGGGGGAAGTAAATGTATTTTCTGTTGTCTCTTCACAGAGCAACTACGGCTGCAGCACTGGCTTTGGCCAGGGTGGCTCTGAGATGCTCTGGATCCTGGGAGATGTCTTCATCAGGGAGTTCTATGTAATCTTTGATTCCCAGAATCAGAACATTGGCCTGGCCAAGTCGGTGTAATCAAATGAGACACCTGGTGGATATCTATGAATGTATATTCCCAGTGTAGGGGCTTGTCTGATTGAAATAAATACAAATTGTGCAATTAGAGATTGTAGCAATACGTTTGAACATATGCCTTTGCAATAAATCGTTTACAGTAACTAAAATCATTCTGTGTGTTTTTTGCGTATGTGTCCGTCTGACTGTGGTGAGTACAACAAAGCTCACACATCAGTGCTGAAAGACCTCTTTAGAAACATCTTTAGTCGCCTTAGTTTTGTGTTACAGCGCTGCACTGAAATGTCACAGAAATAAGAATCTGTTCAGTCTATTCATTCATTCACTCTTAAGATAAACTCGACCTTTTATAGAGGATTCAAAAAGGATTGCCACCAGCTTTTTTGTGTGAGGGAAAAAGAGGCCAAGAATAGAATATCGAGCGGCTCTCAGAATAGCCAGAAGGCTAGGTTGTAATGGAGAAGAAACTGATAAGGACAAACATTGATTTAACAAAAGATAACCTGATGACATAATCTGACAACTCTGCTGCTTTTTCAACCTGCGAACACTGTCGAAAGGACTCAAACAAAAGTGTTTTTTCTTAATTTCACCAGACTATGTTAATTTCTTTAATGCATCATTTCATTTTTACGTCTTCTCATTTTCACAAACAACACATGCTATATATACACACGGGGTAGTTCAGCGATTTAATATTGCACCTCCATAAAGTTGGGGGACTCACTAAAGAGAAAAGAATAGTTCAAAGAAAAGCAGTAGATCATGAGGATGTGTAGTCCCTAATATGGGTAAAGCTCCACAAATGCTGGATCCTACAATACATTTCCCACAATGCAACCAAATGCATGTTTTTGTTGGATCCTTCCTGCCTGATGAATCCCTGTCAAACTCTGTACTGTCTAAGGAGTAGTAACCATGTTTAGTAAACTGACATTTTACAATTTCAAACACAGTGGTGGAAAAAACAGAATCGGTCTAATTAAAATCAGAAATGAACTGGATTCTCACAGGTGGATTCACTGGTGGATTGCCAGTGTGGAGTACTCCACCATCCCATCATGCTCTGCGCTCCAGGTCGAGTCAGGGGATCCTGCTTGCGTTTTGTGCATCCTCAGGTTTGCATACACCTCTGTTGGTTTCAGGTGAGCTCTGAAGTCCACTGTTGTGTAGACTAGGCTGCTCACTTCCTGGGGGAGACACACTTTGTCAAGAGACTGTCTTGTGGAGGAAGTTTAAAGCATGAACATGCAATCCTTTGAAAACAAGTGACGATGAATCACAGGGGCTACATGTTCCCTATTTAGCACTTACTGGGGCCTCTTGTTTCAGTGACTCACATTGAGTTTCTGCATATTTGTCTACAAGGAAAAACAAAATCACATTGGTTCTATTTACCCATTCCAAGATATTCATAGTTTATTTTCAGACACTCAGATGTTTGTGATCATCCATTTAAGAAAACTGCTTACCCGGCTGTTTACGTTTTGCCTTGACTCTGCAGCAAACAACACCAATAACTGAAGTGACCAAAATCATCACTGCAATGGAAACAATGACAGCTAGTGGCAGGCCAAAACTCCATGGAACTCTGGAGAAGAAAACAAGAACACATATATAATAAATACAAATATATATAGATATATATACACACACACATATATCTCATCTTCAGTCAGACAGCACTGTTTGGCCGACTAGCAACAACAAGTAATCTGCAGTGTATACCTGTCACTGTGGTCCTGTGGCAGAGCAGGCCAAGTGGAGTCTGGGAGTGTTGTGGAGGTGTTGGGGGCTTTGACAGTTGTTGTCAGTGAAGGCTGAGACCGGCTGTGGGGATCTGAAACCTCTGCAAAATGCAAGAATATCAAACAAGCGTCCAGAGTTTATGGCTGGAATTAACCATTGCAATATTTCCCCTGCTTTACCAGAGAAAACCAACACTCAAATATCATTCAAGTCAGTAAGTCAGTATCTTATGAAGCTGTGATAATGCATGTGGTAGTGTACAAGCGGCTATGGTATAATTCACATTTATAACACCACATTAATGAAGATTAAGACTGCTTACCAGACACCTCAACATAGTAATCACTGTAGATGCGGTTCTGAGTTCCCAGCACAATACATCTGTAATATCCTCCATCCACGGAGCGCACATTTGATATTTTAAATTCTATCCAGCCATCTTTCTCAGTTGTCGTAACTCTTCCTTTCAGAAATTCACAAGTGAATCCTGCACTGTCCAGCAGCTTGTAACATCCTCCCGGATAGAGTTTACAGCAGTACTTGTTGTAACTATTGTAAAATGAAGGGAAGGTGAGTTTCAGCAGAACATGTTCAAACTCCTCGATCTCCTGCTGCCCTTTTAGATGAGGGATATCTGGAAAACAAACATTTCTTATTAGTGTGTAATTTCAGGCACTCAAGACCAGAACCTTTATAAATTTGACCTCTTTGAAAAAACCCCTACCTAATAAAAGAAAGAAGACAAAGGAGAACTTCATCTTCAGTGTAATGCTTACTGAGGCTCAGCTCTTTCTGACACTTTTCCACTCTTTTTAGAGGATCCGAGGCCCCTCCTTGCTGAAGAAAAGAGGAAGTTGTCAGTTCAGCAGCTGGAGGTCCCAGACAGACGAGTCCGTGCCAACTCTTTTAAGTATTGTAGAGGCACACTTCTTATACATTTCATTTTTAACTTATTTTGAAGTACATGTTAACTGTTTCCATAATGTAGATGTACAGAGGGTGGACACAGGAACACCTGTATAGTATGATACCACTGTGTCATCACACTGTCGGAGGATGTTGACTAGACTGTTCATTTTTGAGGTTGCAGTTTGTGGTGTGCTTGTGTTGGATTACGTTACATTGTTTGTTTCTGTCATTTCTCTGTACTTTTCTACTGCAAAATGTGGACACATGCTGGAATTGCCATTAGCACATTATAAGGCAATATGACACCACAGATTACAGCCTCACAATGACTATAGAGTTGCATCAACTCATTTCTGTGTGTGTAAACAGTGACTCTTTTGTAATGGCTTTGCTTTTATTATGTCTAACGCATTATAATTATAGACATTTTAAAGCAGATATAGGTTCCTCTCTGAACAAAATCAATTTCATTAAAATCCGGACATTTATGGACACATTACAGCATATACACAAGTATACACAAAGTGATTTATTTGGTGTCAGCTTTCAGCTTATTAAACACTTCATAGTCACCAAATCAAAACATATCCTCCATCGCGGAACAGAAAACAAATGCAAAAGGTATGTACATATTCATATTTAGTAAACAGAATGTTGTGGCATTCTAACAATTGACATTATTATAACAGAGCAAAAACAATCACTCCCTTTTCCTTTCACCCCACTCAAAACCTAAAATGTTCCTTTGGACGCTCGGTGTATTTTCTAAAGCACGTTGTAAGCCGTTTCATTTTCTTTGATAACATTGTCTTGCAAATGGAGGCAGTTGAGGCATGTAAACAAGAATATTTTTTTAATAATTACAGAACAGACCAACCTTGCTAAATGAACTTTTAAATACACAGCCCCTATGATTAAGTTAGAAGCAATGGGTGCAATAATTAAAATTTACAAAAGGTCGTTGATCCTATTGAACAGTGCAACTGCCGCCGAGCAGGTGACAGTGTGGAGGAGATGGTGTTTTAGTTCACAGCCAGCTGAATGCATAAATAAGTTGAGGTCACGGTACTTGTCAGCTCATACTGGTTTCTAGTCATTTGTATCCCAGCAGGTTTAAGAAGCCGTCTATTCCTCTGTGAAGGTGATGACGTCATAGTGGATGCCTTGCTGCTGCAGCTGCTCCAGCTGTTCAGGTGTAGCTTCAGTGTAGACTGTCTGGGTCTGAGCCATGGCTGTGTCTGCTACGGGTACAAGAACAAAGATTGTTGGCAATGTAGTTACTATAGGTGTTCATTATAATGGTGATTTCATGGTTCATATTATTATCAAGCTTATTATTATCTAAAATGAATAAGATCATAAAACTAGTCACCCATGGTCTGGTATGGTTTAGCCCATTGTCTATAGAGGATGTATGTTCAACATTTTCAAAAGCATCTACATTTCAAAAAGCAATGATTCCATTCACTTCACTGAGGTTTGCATTTGAGTTTGCAGAGACATTAGTCGTTGTTACAACTTAATGGTGTGATCAACAGTACACCAACATCAGTGCTTTTTTATCTAACTATAAAGCAAGGAATTTCTGTCTGTGTGTATGTGTGTGTGACTCAAGAAACACTTATCAGATCGACGTCACATTTTGCGGGTGTATTGCTATGGACCCAAGGACATGCAGAGTACATGTTCAATATGATTAAAGTGAACAAACAAACTAACAGCTCTCTGTGCAGCAGTGGGGCTTCAGGGCTTTGTGGACTGAGTCCAGCATGACGTCTGCAGGAGGCCTTCACAAGCTGCAGCTCATTGACTGCAGATCACTACTGCTGTTGGCTATACTAACGTCACAACCGCATACTTATTCACTTCCGTGAAGTTAACGAAAGAGCGATTCTGAACAACACCCCAAGCAGCAAAGTGAACTGAGAGGAAGTCAACAGTTGAAATGTCATCTATAAACCTAGAAATGTGTGGTGTGCTTTGAAAAAATGCTTGATGCTGAACACAGGCATGGTATTTAATATAATTGGTAAATAAACAACCCACCAGTGTAGAGGAGGGCTGAATATAAAACAAGTAAAGTATAACCTTTTCCCTAAGAGAGCCAACCTGTGACAGCAGAATTGTCAGCGGCCTCCATATCTTCAGGATTCACCATCTGTTGCTCCGAGCTCATAGGAAGGTACTGGATCTGACCGTCATGGCTTACAGTAATCTAAACACAAAGAACATGGAGCAATGAGCTTTTGTCAAAACAAAAAAAAAAAAAACCCTTACTGTAGAGCATTTGAGGTTATCTCAAAATCAAAATCTCAGCCTCACCTGTTGCTCCTGCAGAAAGGTCCCGTCGTGCTCATACTGGATGAGCTGTCCATCTGGCATCTGAGGAACAAAAGGGCAGTTAGAACATGACTCTGTCACCTTCAAACACTGCATGTATCCTTCAGTTATGGAGACTTATTATGAGGCAACGCACTGACCTGTATGTGGTTGCCATCAGCTAACACCACATACTCCTGAGGGAGCAAGTGCTGCACGCCATCCTGCGAGATGATGTACTGAACCTGAAACAGGACAAAGGAGTTGAGATGAAAGCTTGAATATATAATAAGGGCTCTGATATAAATATACACAGTAGAATCTACAAAATGGCTCTAACCTCAGTCACCTGGTTCTCTCCTGTCATCAGGTGCTGAACTGTCTGTCCGTCTATGGTGGTTATCTGCTGGATGTATGTGCCCTCCTCCTGATTAATGCAGACATGAATGCATTTAGTTACAAAACAAAATTGCCTACATTCTGTATGCAAAAAGAACAAATCGACAAGCATGGCCAGCATGGTGTGAACGTTGGCACCTGGTCTGATAGTGCCTGTTCTTGAGCTACAATGATGTGCTCCTGTCCGAGGGCCTGCAACCGCTCTGGAGTGATCACTGTCTGATGTGCCTGTAAGGCTGTTAGAAAACACACCAAAACACACAAATTAAGTTTGACAGTTTTGTGATTTTGTTTGCCACTAAATCATTCAGTTTCATATTATTTGTGTTCCTTACATTGTAGCGTGGCAAGGGCCTCCTCGTCACTATTCACTATGATGGTTTGCTGAGACGTGGGGGTACGGCACTTGCGAGCAGGATTATCCTGATTGTGGAGACGCTCCATGTGAAACTTTAGATGTCCATTACGGTTAAACCTGAGATTTTGGGCAAAAAAAACCACATTAACATCGGTAGCTGTCCATAACCACTTTGCGGTCTAATGTATACAAATTGTTTTGTATAAGGGCTCCTAATGTCAAGGAAATGCAAGTTTTGTGACGATTCCAATCAGTTTCACACCCACCTTTGACCACAAAGTTTGCAAGAGAACGGTTTCTCATTGGTGTGTGTCATCATGTGTCGCCGCAAGTCTTTCTTGTTCTTGGAGGCAAAGCTACAGCTTGGACACTTGTGAGGGCGCAAGTAGGAATGCAGCTCCATGTGAGCCTTCAGTGTGAGCGTTCAGAAAGAGGGATTCAAAACAGAAATGCTTTTAAAAAGACTGACGCATACAAATGACTTAAAAATTACACATGAGGGTGGAAATGCCCCTATGTAGTCTTTCACCCTGTTACAACTTTATTTGATGAGCAATTGAATATTCATGAGACTGCCCCCTTTTGTAAAATGTGGGGTCAATTTATGGCAGGCTCACCTTGACCTCCTGCCAGGATGTAGAGGTGAAATCACAATCGGGACACTTGAAGGTGTTGGGGTCCAAGTGTGCCCTCTTGTGGTTCTCCATGTCAGAGCGTCCGTGGAAAGACTCCATGCATATTCGGCAGGAAAACCTCTTGGTGCTCTGACCGGGAGAGCTCACAGCAGAGGGAGAGGCTGGAGCTTCGCTGCTCAGCTGAGAGAAAACAAAGGACACAGTCAGAGAGGAGGGGTACACGATGTAAACAGATCTTTACATGCCAAAACAGCTGATCACTCGCAGTTACCTCCACCTGTTGTAGAACACCATCAGGCAGTGCTGACGTTAGGTAGTACTTCTCACTTTTCAGGCTCTCTGCCCCGGAGTCGTCTAAAGCCTGAGAAGGACTGCTCTCATCGTTACTGCAAAGACAACAGTTTTATGACATTATAGATTGAGACGAGATCATGAGGGTCATCAATAATCCTACATTCAATCTCATTATGAATAAAGTAGTCATGTGACTGTGTTTTCCAGTGAAACATCTGTTCCACCTAATCAGAAAAAGAAAAAGAAATCACACGGTGTGTTATGTAGTCTCACATAGCCAGACTTATTTCCACTGTGCTGTGTCAGCGCTAAGAAAAGGTCCAGCTCCAGACATCATTTTACTAAAGATGAAAAAAGGCTCTGGCTTGTTTGTATTTCTTCAAACCAATTACAAATATCTAAGCACAGGATGCAGCGATGGTGCCCTTGCAAATCGGTAACAGGTAAGTAGCTGAAGGGGAGGAGAATATAGGCGGCCAATGTCCTGCTTGTAGCCACAGACTACATCCGGTGTGTTAAGTCACCTGTATTCAGGGCTGTCGATCTCTTCAGCCGCCTGTTCCACCACACTGAAGTCCCCTCCGCTCTCGTAGGCTTCGATGGCAATCTGGGTCAGCTCTCCTGTTTCAGAGGTGGCTGTCTCGAAGGCCTCTTGTAGCACCGTCTCACCGTTCTCAGACACGTGGAAGGTCACAACCTTTTGTGCCTGGCCCGATGCTGTGGTCACTGTGCTCCACGTGCCCTTTTCCAAAGCTTTGCCCTCTGAATTCAGCACCGCCACCTGAGGAGCACGATCAGTCACTTATAACTTAATTTATCTTATTTCTAAAAGGCAAACATACTTTCCACATAAATGTAACCCGCTTATGTAAACTGAAATCTTTTGATGAGCACCAACCTGTAAGGCGTTTCCAACCAATTCCCGGGCATTGCTCATATTCAGCAGCAGGTCAAGGGCATTCTGGGCGGATTGGTCGCCGGATTCAACTGAGGAGCACATGGTGAAGAAGTCAGCATTTGTCCTCAACCTTTATCCCACCAACATATTTAACAAAACAAGGACTACCGAATCTGGAACCGGAGAAAAAACTACTGTAAAAAACAACCATCATCATAGCAAAATGTGAACACATTTTTCTCAAAACATAATTAGCCATGTATTCAATGTCATCTGCAGAAAAAAAGAATATTATTTTAGGAAAGTTACAGTTAATTGGCTTCAGGGCTCTGCGGACTTTGTTGAGATTGTCGTCCGCAACGAGCCGCTGCAGGCCGTGGGTCATTGACTGCAGTAACATTTTTGCTGCTGGATGATGGATATACTAATATACAACCAAGCTCTTCTTTACTTCCCTGGACTCATCGAGCGATGAGCGGTTCCGACAATGCGTACGTCTATTAAAATTACATAAGCAAAATGAAGTGCTTTTGACTGGGGCCCCCAACCCCTACGATACCAATACATTGGTATTAAAAGCATTAATTAATACAGAAAGAGAAAAAAAATGGTAAGAAGTCATAAGGACCAAATTGATTGACAAAGTCATGAAACATCGGAATGCTACAATGAAGTAGCGGTGAGATATGACATACCTCTGTCTGTCTGAGTGTACCCCAGTCGGTAGGATGCTGACATAGCAGAAATACTAATAATGACTCTTGACTAAAAAGAGGACTGACCTTGTTCATAGATGATGGTGGTGTTTCCCATTGCGTCCTGGGTCACTGAAGCATTTTCCATACCCTGCATGGCTTGTAGTGTCGCAGAATCCACTGCAACCTAATGAAGGCGGGTAAAAAAAAAAACAAAAAAAAAACAGTTATGTCCAAATACCTCTAAATACAACACAAGCTAAAATAAAATCCAAATTGGGCCAGAGATAAATAACAGAAAACCACAAACAGACTCACAATAGTGTTCTGCAAATCCTGTGTGTCATCATGTTGTTGTTGTTGTTTGAGCTCCTCTATCTGCTGCAGCGTGAAGAAGGGCCTGCGGCGCCTCCTGACAGGCTCCTCAGGGTGTGTCACAGACCACTCGTCAAACGTCTCAGGGTGGCGACACTGCACATGTAGACGCAAGTTCTTCCTGTGCTTGGTCGTGAAGTGGCACATGTCACAGGAGAAAGGCTTCTCCCCTGAAGAAGACAGTGTCAATTGTAAAGGTGTTGTACAGTATTACATTCATGAGGTGAACAGACTCATCTTAAATAAACTTAATGAAAGCCTTTCTGCCACACAGACCTGTGTGTTTGATGGCCAGATGGGAGACCAGGAACTCCTCTTTAGAAGTGGAGTATTTACAGTAGTCACACTTGAAGGGCCGGTCGTTGGTGTGGGAGAGCTGATGGTTGAGCAGCAGCTTCTTGTTGTCACAAGTGTAATCGCAAAATTCACACTTGAACCTTGCACATGCACATCCAAGAGTTAATCATTGTGATAATATCATTATTACTAACATCAACAACTAATGACTAATGTTGATTCATTCAGGCGTATTCCAGGCTACATTGCTGATCAGACAAGTCTGTTACATCCATGTTTTTGAAATACAGACTGATACATGACAAAATAAAAGAGATGGGATAAAAATACTAACTTGCTGTCTCCAAGACTCTGGATGTGAGTCAGCAGGTGCATTTTGAATGTGTACCGCTTCTTGAAGGATTTGCCACACTACAAAGACAGAAAGGCATTTTCAACAAGAGCTTTGAAGAACATAAAAAAGTCCATAAAATGATGAGTGCACTCACTTTCCTGTAAAGATATTCATGGTTATACATTGTTACACAGTAGAACTATTGTATCGCGTAGGACGGTAAATCATGCATTCTTTTAAAAGAGGGAAGGGAGAAAAAATAAGCATCTTACAGGAGAAACAATCTTGCCCGAAAATCATTAGAACTATTGACCTTATCAAGACGATCTTTAGAGGGAATCCTAAATTGGTTACTGGTGTCCAGAGATTCTGTACATAATGTAAGCTCGAAAATGTCCAAAATCTGGATATTTGTGAATATAGAATAGAATTATCATGTAAAGAATGTGGAGACTTGGGATTTCTGATTAACTTATTTAAAATGGTTTGTTTTTCACTAAAAAGGATCGTGACCATGCCTGCTTGTAACCACCTAAAATATTCTGTGCCATAATCTTTTTTTTTTTTTCTTTCTTTTTTTTTTAAATATTAGTATTCATTAAATCTTCTTAAAATGTTACAATCTTTATCATCTGACCTTATCACACATATGTGGTTTCTCTGAGCTGTGGGTCTTCATGTGCTGGGTGAGTCTCTTCTGCATGGGGTAAACCCTGTGACACACAGGGCAGAGGAACTCTGACACCTTTGGTACCTGCAAGAATGAGCACAAAAAACATAAAATTTACTTGAAAGTATTTCTGCTACACGACCGCATAATATTATCATTACACCATGAGCATGCTAATTAGCATTTAACCATCATTCAAATATTGGAGACTTGAAATATCTTACCAACTCGGTCTTTCTCTTCCTGTAGGATGGAAATTAAAATGATTTAAAAAAAATGCAAAATGTGTTCTGTATAACGAATGGTTTATTGTGTATGTGCTGTATGTTGACTGAGTTACTTACTTGTCTTTGTTGTGGATTGCTGAGTGCCGATTGACATCTTTCTTGTAGACACTTGTGTAATCACACTCCTCACACTTAAACGGCTTGGTGCCCTCATGATTGAACATGTGTTCCTGCAAAACAGCACACAAGGCTTTCAGGGCACCGTGCAAACATGCACGTAAACTGAGGTTGACCTCAATGTTGTGACCTGCTTTCTTGCAACTGACCTTGAGTGAAGACCAGCGCTTGCAGCGATAGTTGCACTGCAGGCACTTAAAGAGCTCTGGGTCATTGCTTTCATGAGAGTCCACGTGGAAGTGCAAATCGTCTTGAGTGAGGAAGCGTGAGCCACAGATCCAGCAGTTGTGAGGTCTCAGCAGCGGTTTCAGGGATTTATAGTACCGACTGTAAGAAAATGGAGAGAAAGAAGCAATTAGCTTGTTGTACTATTATGTAATACTATTTGTAACACAAGTTTATTTAATGATTTGATACTCACTTTCGATTTATATATTTCTTATACTTCTTGCGAAGAAAACGCTTTGAGGGTCGGCCGCGTTTCCTCTCAAAGAATTCCTCTGGCTGTGTGTTGGATGAAGGGTCTTTGTTCTCAGAGTCTGATTGGCTTATTGCTGCCTCAGCTGTGTCTCCATCTGTCCCTATAGCAGGACCATTGTTTAGCCCGGAGGAGCTTGCCTCTTCAGGTACACTAGCATCCGCACCCACTCTGGGCTTCTTAGCAATACTCTCTGCTTCTGTAACAAACCAATGAAAGACAAGAATGTGTAGGCTCTCCGGTACAGTGACGGGCTGTTTTTTTTTTATATACTTTGTCAAAACTGAAAGCCAACCTTTGCTGCTGTAGCCTTCTTCTAGAAGGCTGTACTTCCTTGGACGGCCAACCTTACGTCGAGGACGCCCTTGAGAGGAGGAAGAGATAGGAGGAGCAGGCTTCTTTATGATGGCAGGTGGTCTTCCGTTGCAGTCATCGTTTGCAGGGTTGTAGTCACTGTCCTCTGGATATAAACAAAGGAGCAGGGAGAGGGAAAGCGAGTATGATTCTTTTCCTTTTTGACTGATTCACTAAGTCAGAAAAGAATGTAAGTTTGTCTGCAATGGGGTTTAATAACAATCTTCCTCTCTGACCTTCAGGATCATCAATAGCACCAGCATCCACAATATCCTCCTCCTCTTCCTCTGCCTTTTGGGGCTGAGCAGCCTTCGCCTTTGCTGCGTTCCTCTCTTCAGCTTCTTCCCTCTCTGCCTGACGACGGGCAAACGTCTCACTTTTCGGAGGCCGTCCACGTTTACGCTTTTTTGACATGTCCCCTGAAACCACACATTATTCCACAAATAAATACTATTATTACTAGTTTTACAGTTTTCAAAAAAATCTGAGAACAAAAAAAAAAAAATCAGAAGTTAAAGTCAAAGCGATATGTTTTTATGATACATAATCAACCGTACTAACTTACCTGCAGGTCTGAAGTGTTTGTCTCTCATGTGGTTGATTAGTGTGTCTTTGGAGGCACTCTTGTATGGACACATTTTACACTTGAACTGCTGTACAATCACTACTTCCATCATCTCCTCCAACTCAGCCAGGTTTGGCGGTCTGTGTCCGGAGCATTCTGCCACTGTTGATGTCTCCATCTCTCTGACCAGCCCAGCTTCATCCTGAGGCCCCTGGGAGCCTTGGGGCTCCTCTTGGCTGGGTGAGTATTGTTGGGGCAGCTCAGATCCAGACTCTGGATTGGAGGTGTATGTCCCACTGCTGCTGATGTAGGGCCCAGGCTGGCTCTCGCTGCACTCCAATGCCTCAGGAAGCCCACCTGAACCTGCCGTGTCTGCCAGAGGGTGGTCTGATGAGGAGCTGTCATCGGCATAGAGAGAGGCCTCTGGACCATTGCTGCTTTCCATGTAACAGGAGTGCTGCGGCTGCTGTTGGGAGTGCTGCGGCTGGTCTGGATCCTGGTTCCGCTCGTCATCGTCATCATCGTCGTCGTCTCTCGCTTGATACTGAGAACAACCTGGTTGCTCAGAGTCTGCAGCTGCAACACAGTCTCCTCCATACTCTGCCCCATACTGCCGACTTGTCTGGGTCCGGTGGTCCCCACTACTGTCAATGTAACTGCGTGAATGATGCGGTTGCTCTCCCTCGTCCATCCCACACTCCAGATACCCAGAGCTGCACTCCACCACATAGTGATGTCGGCTGGTCAGGTTTGAGTCAGCCCCACTGCATTCCACATATCCAGGCAGATCCTGGTCACTGTTATCACCGCTGTAGTCAGGGAAACCTGACTGGGAGCGCGTCTGGTCGGGTTCCTCGCCTGAACACTCCACGTAGGAAGATGAAGACTCCCCTGTCTGGTCTGGACCATCTGCACTGCAGTCCATATACTGGGAGGGGTGGGAGTGCTGGGGCTGGTCAGGCTGACTGCTGCTGTCCTCTGGGTAACCAGAGTGACCAGGCTGATCAGGTTCAATGTTGCCCTGCAGGTCTCCCTGGTCCAGACAGGTGGACGTGGGCCCTTCAGCGAGAGCTTCTATGGCTATACGATTAGAGAGGGCCGACGATGACATCTGGGCTACCATAGGAGCCCCTGTAGCAGACAAATACATGTAGATGGATTGAACACACTAAAAAGTACACTAAAAACTATTCTCATACTGTGTATGTATCCACTCTATAAATAAATGCTGTCTGAGTAACATCCCACCATAGTATTCAGTATATTGTTACTATTACATTTAAACATGTTCATAATTGTCTCATTAACTCTTACAATGGTTTGAAATGAGGTGAAGACTTAATGAGTTAGCGATAACATAATAATAGCAATTTTACCGTCATCTGGTCCTTGTAATATCAGATACCGGGTTGTTTCTGCACCTCCATTTTCTGCACTGGTCCCAGCTATGCAGCCTAACAGAAGAACAGTAGACAAGATCAGATATCTGCTACATTATGGTCAAATAATCAAACTGACACAACATAAAAGCTTCTCAGCCTGTGATATAACAGAAAGTGGAGTATCAGCGGAAATACCATTCATGATGTCAGGGCCGATGGTGGACTCAATGATCTTGTCAATGGCAGACCCGAGGTCTGACGAGGTAGAAGCAGTTGAGTCAGAAACCATCATGGCTCTTTCAGATGCAGCACTTGAGTGGACCAGTACTTGGGCTGACTCAGACACCAGCACTGACTGAGTCACTGTGGAGACGCTGGACACGCTGGTGGACTGGGCCACTGAGGAGGAGTCAGGGAGGTGGACTGATGAAACTCTGACGTCTGTACTGGAGCTGGTTTCTGGGGCAAACACCTAGACAGGGAGGGGGCAAGAACATGATTGCAACATCAACAAACTTTAATGATAAAAGCCAAACTGCTAAATCTATTTTTGTTTAATATATGTCTGTTTTCTCACACACAATATATATATATTTTTTTTTAAATGCTTACCACAAGTCCCTCTGAGCTCTGACCCACATGGCAGTCAGATTCTGGGGCCTGTGCATGAGAGGCAGCTGCATCACTGCTGTCTGCAGACATGGCCTCTGATGACTCCATACCCATGCCGCTTTCAGACGGTTCCTCCATCCCCGAGGGACCTGCATCACTGCTGCTCTCCACCTCATTCTCCTCCGAATTCATGACTATCCACAAAAATCAAACAAAAACACTATACATTTGAAGTTTGTGTCATATTTAGGCATGCTTTGGCCATTACTGCAAGTTCATTGTGTTAAGATGAACACAACTCTCGTCATAAGTGTTATGAGAGTATGCAATAATTAAGATTTTTCATGGTCCTTCATACATTGTCACTAGATTAACAGTTAAGTATGGATAGTCTTTTGAAGCAAATAATAACAACGTTGAGACCTGCAGAGATCCTGGAAGGAAAACTGAAAGTTTGTCAAAGTTTTTCAAATGTGTGCAAGGATATACTGTATATTGGAAAAGTAACTCTAGTAATAATAAATACATTCAAAGTCTCTTAATTTAGCAGTTTACAGTTAGTGTGTGTCATTATGAGGTCTTTATTTAGATTGTGATACATGTGTGTACATGTAAACAATGTGTAAAATAGCTAACAGTACTATTTCTATCCAGGGCTGGGAAGTAACATGAGTACATTTACTAAGATAAACTTGAACACAACTTTGATTAACTGACAATTCTTATTTTCTGAAAGTGTATACTTCTACTCTACTGCACTGAATAGCCAAGTGAATGAGTTTGTGAGACTATGTATAACATTTCGCATAGGTAATTCCCTACATTTCAGTAAAGGATGTTGAGTTTCCCTCATTTGGTGATAAACGTACAGAGCTGTGTTTATTTAGGACAACTTATAACTGATAGCTCCAGCTTTTTCTCTGCAGAAGTCTACATAAATAAACGTTAGCCAAGTTATAATAAGTCGAGGTAGGTGCGAATTAAAGGTATCTGTTCTGGGGGAGCACAGTTAACGTTTCGACTGGTCAAATGTGCCTACACTTGTAGAATGACATGAGCCCTGGACAGCAGTGAAGTTATTTAGAGACTACGGGAACCAACGTCAGCTCACGATGAACCGGAGCCGTTAGCGTTAGCTTTTAGCTGGCTAACAGGCATTGTTGTCAACTCAGTATATTATCCGATGAAGCTGGAAAACAACTAAAATTGTCCGAGTGGCAGTTTAAATATGCGTCATAGATGAAGAACAGTTATACACAGGTCGGCATGTCGAGTGTAACAACACAACAACGTGTGTTAGCCGTTTTAAACGGGCCCAGCTGCCCTTGATCATGCCTGCTCCGCGTCGCCATTTTCCACCAAGTAGCCCCGCTTTACACTCAGGCGCTCTGAAAGCTCTACTGGGGACCTCGAGGGCCTCAGCTGCGGCAGACCGTCCAAATGCTCTCCCTGAAGAAAATTAAAAGGTTTTCCTTCTCCGGCACAACAATCGCCACGTTTTTTTCTTACCGTGTATGTTCGAGTAGAAGGGTATCCTGTGGTGTAGACGCGCTGAATAGAACAGACATTAGCAACTGATAATTGGTCCTTCTTTCTAGTCGGGCGCCATGAGACTCTCCTTGCTTCCTGTCCGTGCAACCGGATCTTATTTATTGTTGTTGTTAAAACTGCCGTCGTTCAAGCGAACATTGGTACATTTACCTATTTTAACAATGTATGTTTACTGACAGATTGGTCGTTATATGTTTCACATATTCGGCTAAAGCTATGTTTATAATCACTTAGTGGACTATTGTTTTAAGAGGAAGGCGTATTACGCAATTAGATGCGGAGTAATATGCGTTCACCGGGGCCGTTGTTTCAGGAGACTAGATAATCTGTACTGCAGAAATTAATGAAGTTAAATTTTCTATTGCCAGCTCGTTGTCGTGTTATCCTTACTGGCTACGTGGGAAATCACTACGTGTGTGTATCTTTACTACTAGCAACATGTGGAGTAGACATGTTTGTGTTTGCTGTTGTGGGAACATGGATTCACATTTACAATAATGCAGCATGTGAGCATGATGGTGTCAGAATACAGGTGCATGTCAGTTAATCAGTTGTTGCAGTGAACGATTGAGACAACCGGTAGTGGGATGTAGTTCTCACAGAATGTTTATTGCATTGAAAGTACGAATTTATACAAATCATATCAGTCTCATAAATAATTTCAGTGAAGGAGACATTAAATTGTCTTCCAGTGCAAGTAATTGGCTTTAAAGCCATTTTCAGAAATACACAAATATATTTATACAAAACAAAAAAAGCTTTAGGACACAAAAATAATATTAGATATTGCTATAAATACCAAAATAATCGAATACTTTTAAGAATCTGAACCTGTCAGACATAAAGATACCATCAGCAAATCTGGAATCCAGATAGCTTTTGAGAATATTTTAGTTGTGGTTATGGGTCATCATTTTTAGACCACCGCAACCAACCAGTTCACAGATTATCAGACTGAGGGCAAGGCAGTGCCAAAGATCACTTGGCTTTGCTTTCACTTTGGGCCAATGCTGTCTGTTATAGAATTAGCCAACATCAATGATGGACAATCTTTGATATGCCAGAAAGCAAACACATCATACAACAGACGGTATACACTAATACTGCATGACATTCTCCCTGACACCTGCACAGGAGAGAGAAGTAGGTGCTACCACATTAAAGACGATTTCCAGCTCATCCCTGTTTGTTCATCTCCTCAGTATTGAGTGCCTGAAGCGTCTGAGCACTTGAGGAGATCGTATTTCACATAGCCAACACGATCCACCTGCCTGCGGGAGTTCATACGCCAGTAGAAGCGGTCTCTGCAGAAGTAGATGTGACCTAAAGAAGAAATATAGACATTTTAATCAACTAAAGACAAAATAAGGATTCTTTCATGCAACAATCTACTGTTAAATGCTAATTTAGTTTAATAAGCTCAGTATAAATGTTTGAAATTACCTTTGTACTGGAAGACATCATGAGCATCATTGGGGACTCCACCAAAAACGACATCTGTGTATCTGGGGTACCCTTTGTCGATTTGCTGGGCCTTCACATCAAGCCTGTGTTGACAATAGCAGAGAATGTCATTAAAATGACAAAAACAATCAGCTGAATTACATAATTTGCTTATGTTGTGAAAAAACGCCAATTTAACTGGCTTGCTCAAAGACTAATAGTAGTCAAATAAGAGCTGGCAGAATTTGAGCTGAAAATCTTCCAGCGACAGACATGCTTTCCATCCTGATTTCAGACACAATTTTAACTCACCTCCAGTAGTTCTCCCCACTGAAGAGCAGCACTTTGCCTCTCCCCCTCTGCAGAGCTCCCTCCACCTTCTGAACGGTGTTCGGGAGGCCGAGCTTCTCTATGCTGCGGGGACCCAGAACACTCTTCCCTGTGTACACCCAGAATCGGGTCCCTACAGAAAGAAAATGATTATGAGAAAAAATGTTCTAGCACTTTCGGCTTCAGTGTTAGTGGTCCCATATACACTGTATGTAGCTTTATTACCTGAGAAAAAGTACAATTTCCTGGCCAGAATGTTCTCAAAGGCAGAGTCGATGACTGCTGGCAGAGCGGGCCACCTCTCTGAAATAGAAAACGGTCCCTTGAGCCCTCCATTGCTCTCGCTGGACATCTTCCAGAAATGTCTGTTGATCAACACATTTACACACAATTAACACATCGGCACGGCTGGTTTGTGTTTATGTTGCCGGTATTACAAAGAAGAATAGACTATTTGCTTACCCGTCCTTAAAGAAATGTAGTTCTCCCTCAATCACAGTGATGGTGTCGAATTTGGTCAACTTGCAGGCATCTTTGGTGGGATCCACAGGTCGAGTGGTGGGATCAATGGATCCATCTGTAGGGTCAGTCTCATCAGGGTTTGGGTAGGGGGTAGTGGTGGGCCGAGGGGGGGTGGGATCAGGGCCTGTTCTGCCTCCTGAAAAAAGAAAATAGTGTTGGTTGAGAGAGAGTGTTGAGAAGTTAGAAATTCAAGCATTTTGGGGTGATTTTCTATGATAACACACTGTGTGATGACCTCACCATAGAGATATTGAATGCCTTCAATGTCATCTTCATGCAGGGAGAAGTTTTCCATGTAGCTGTACATGGGGTACATGAGAGCCTCTCTTATGTTGGAGTGATCCAGGCCAAGGGCATGTCCAAACTCGTGGGCTGCCACCAGGAACAGACTGTAACCTGGAACACATGCAGAAAGGAATATTAAAACAAATGGCAAGGGTAAAAACGTAAAGCATTTATCTTCTCCACTTTCTTGTCTTATATTCATGTTACTCACCCTGGTCAGGACAGAAGCCCCATTTCTTGTCGTCATCATAGCTCTCAGTGGTACCACACCACAACTTGCCATCTCCTCGTCCCTCACTTGTGCAGGAGTCGTACTCTTTACCCAGGAACACAAAGGGGAAGTGGCAAGGCTCCCCCTCAGAGTTTCCACCAGTTACAGCGGTGTCTGGCCAGACAAAGACATAATAACAACGGTAAGATAACAAGCCATTGTGGCAGTAGTAGACAGCATTCATGAATTGTGGTTCCTGTCACTCACCACGACTGGGACAGAATCCATATGTCTTGTCATTGTCAAAGTTGCTTGTGGTAGCACACCAGCGATAGCCATCACTGCGGCCCTCTGTGGTACAGCTGTCATATTCCTCCCCCAGAAAGACGAAGGGAATGACACACTTCGCTCCGTCTGCGTTTCCTCCAAATGTGTACAGAACTGTCAGGATGAGAATAAGGGGCAAGGATGAGCGGGTGAAGCGAGTCAGCATGCCACAAAGGCAAATGCTCTAGCTGACCTCTGACCTATGATTTCCCTTGCTGAACAAATTGTCAAGCTTACGTTCACTTGGGCAGAAGCCGAATTTCTTGTCACTGCTGTAGTCAGCTGTGGTGGCACACCATGGCAGGTTGTCCGAACGGCCATTAGTGGTGCAGGTGGTGTAGGATTTGCCCTCGAAAGTGAAGGGGAAGTGGCACATGGCACCATCAGCATTACCATAGCGAGTCCTCACAGCTTAGGGGACAGAAAAAAAACATACATGTAATGTAATGTATAAAGTGAACACTAGGGGGAGACATCCTCATATTATTTGTTGGTGGTGGAGTACTGTCGTTTGGTAAATACCTGGTCCTTTTCCTAGGGTCCAATACTCATCATCGTCAAAGTGGGCGTCACCCTGCAAACCCTCACCAGGGGGATAAGCATGGGCCAGAAGACCATCTTTACCATCGAATGGATATGGGTCTCCATGGTCTGAACAGAAAAGCAAAGTGCACGTCAGTCTTTTGATTTTAAACTTGGGTTTAGTTCAAAATCATTATACAAGTATGTGACATCAATATGAACAACACCCATGAATTGAGCAAAAACACATACTGGTTTTTCCAAATGAAATCATGATGTCAGCTGTCCCATCAAAGAGGCGGGTAAAAGTCAGAGGGGTCACATCACTCCACACCTTGAAGGCTCTGGCAAAGGCCTCATCAATCAGAGAGATCTCCATGTCTGGAGTATAGCTAACGATCCTGTA